TAGAGTCCCAACGACCGCGGCGTTACGCGGCTCCATCACATCGCTCGCATTCTTTGGCTTTTTTGCCAACCTGTCATTCTGGTGGGGGTTTGATAGGTGGATAATAGGAGGATCAGAGCAGGAATTTGTTGAACAAACTCTGCTGCTTTGGCTCGGAAACCTTCATTGTGGGTCCACAGAGTCCATAATGCTGCATTCTTCCAACAGGTGAAGCAGATGGATGTGAGTTTCGACCCTTTTCTCTCCGATTGTTGCTGTTGGGGAAACTTCATAAAAGCAGCTGAAAGCTCCCTCCTACAGCCTCACAGGAAAGAGGTTTGTGGTTCGAACTGCACAACAAAAGCTTTCAGCCTTTTAAGTCCCCATAGATCCAGTCTAAAGAGGGGGGTTTACTGCAGATCTCTCCCTTTATTTTACTAAACTTTATCCTCTATTTGGTTAAAAGCACTAAACAGGAACTTTTAGCAGCACAAAATGGTGTAAAATCTGTAAAGAGTCACATTTAAAGCACTTTTCTCATGGACTGTTTTTGCTGAGTCATACTGTACAGGGCTAAACTTTACAAACTTAGTCTGCAGCAATACCAAAAACCACCTGAGTCAAAAAAAAAGCTCTTTTTAATGCAAAAATATGCGTTAACAGCCTGGTTCAAAAACAGTCTGTTATGTGACAGGCCCAGTCAGGAGCACGGATGACTTGACTGACATAGGGATGGGAATTGATAAGATTTTATTGATATCGATGCCATTATCGATTCAAATTCTTAAATGATTCCCTTATCAATATCTTTCTTCGATTAAAAAAAAAGTTGACTGTAGGTTTTTACCGTTAACTCAAAATTTTATTGAGTCTTGATAACAGAAAAAGACGTATGCCACCTTCAGTGAGAGTCTATAAATAATCAAACAGAAACACTATTTGTACAGCATTTCTGACATGCATTGTGTTCATGTTAACACAGGACATATGTTAGAGTGACCATATTCTGAATCCCCAACAAGAGGACACCACTATGCGGAGGCGGACTTGTGTGCGAAATTTAAAGGTTTTTTTTGTCGAGTCGAGTGTTTTTATGCACTTCTTACTCAGTTAAACACATATTATTCTGAATTCCGAAAGACAGTGCAAGCATGCATCACGTCAGTGGCTTTGCTTAGAAGTGGATGGGCAGAGCTGCAGAGAGGACTGATGCTCTGCACTGTTTTATAATGAGTGAATACACGTTCCGGACATTTGAAGGATTTTATAAACTCCCCAGGACAGTCCCCCAAAAGAGGACATGTCCGGGTATGGTCACCCTAACATAGGTACCTTCCATGCTGCGCTGAGACGGAGCTGATGACCGTCAGAGAACGTCGAACACATGTGACTCCTTATATTTGATACCGTTGACAAATGTTGAAGCATGTTGCTGCTGTTTCCACCTTTGCATGGTATCACTGCTCGACAAACGTTGCACTGTTGTCGTCTTTCTGGTAAAATTAAGCTACGCATTAGCTTATTTCTGCCTACTTTTCATACTGTCCCCCATGTTTTTTTCTCTGTCTCTGTTCCCGTTTGCGTAGACTAGCACTCGTGACACCGTTATGCAAGGCACCCGGAAGAAAGGAATCGTTAAGATAAAATGTAAATGATGTTGATGGATCGAACCATTTGGAACTGGTTCTGGATTCCCATCCCTAGACTGACAGGCGGAAAACACTCTGGCTGTTTATGAGAAGGCGAAAGGCCCGCCTCTGGTTAGGCTGAGGCAGCATTTCTGATATGCAGCAGGTAATTTTAATGCAGCTGCTGTTTGAACACATAAAGAAGTGTCTATAACTGAGTGTTACATGAATGTAGAATATAAACATGCAAATCACAACACTCCTACAGTCGCAGTTATGCAGGAAACACTGACTTGGTGTAGTCCGGCTCTTCAGGACACACATGCGTGGACCAAGGACAGAAACTGAACAACAGATCAGTCATTTCTCACTGGATCACATGTCCGTTAAGAGTTGAGTCCCCCCCTGCTCCTTGTTTTCCAGGACTCGTCATAAATCCAGCTGAGGGTCAGTTTTATACCTCAACATGTTCTGCTCGTCTGTCATCGTCTGAATAATCTCTCTGAGCTAAATCTGAGGAGAACCTGATCTGTCCAACAATAAACCCCGCTAACCAAGCTCAGGTTTCTGCTCTTAACCTCATCCCCTCTTTTCCTGGGTGTCCCATTAACCTCAGCTTCCCTCACCACCACGGAGGTCAGGGTTAGCCTGCATGTGCCGGGTCAGACGGAGGCCTGATCCTTGGACTGTTTAAAAACAGAGGCGGCCTCATGAGAGGAGCCTCCGACCAAAATTATCACCCAACTATGAGCGGCATGTATTTTTGATATATCTGACAGGAAGAGGAATTTAGTTCATAAGTTGGTCCCTGAAGGGTTTCTGTGAAAGACAGACTCTCCATCACGTCTCTGCTCGAATGGCTTTAAGAGGTTTTAAAGTGTAGACGAATATTTATCGCAGAACTCCAGACGATTGTATTCCTGATGTAAAGATGTCTCTAGTTATTACTTTGGCTGATCTCTGAACAGTTACCCCCAATTTCCACTGCATCCGGAATGGCTACAAAAAGGTTGTATCTGCTGATCGTAGCTGATCGTAACCATTCAAGTTAACGTGTCAATTTCCACCGGCTTCTTTCTGTTCCGCTGCAGATCGCTGCACTCTGCAGCTGATCACAACAGTTATTTTTTCGGACACCAGAGCATGCCAGATAAATTCAGCACAGGATACTTACTTTCAAACGTAATCTTTAACTCGTTTAACCATATTCTAAAAAAGAAACCCAATCCAATAAAAGCAGGGCTGCACATCCTTCCAAACTTGAATTTTGAAAAGTTTTGAACTTGTTTTTTAATTTTATCTTTAGGTCCATTTTAACAGCATGAACTAGAAGAAAACATTGAACAGAACAATAGACCCAAGCTCGGTACTGATTCAGTTTCACTTCACTGTTTATCTTCACTCAACTCTTCTAAAATCTCTGCCTAACTCTTTGGAAACTTTCAAGCTATCATCGGTTTTGTTTCCGTTGCACTAGTGAATGAATGCCTCAGGAATACTCGGGTGTTTTGTTGTGTGTGTGGCCTCGCTGCCAGCGAGCAGATGCAGGAAATGGAGACACCTCTTTGGGGATATGATTCATCTGGTCAGCAGCACAACAGATCTAATTCTGCCTTCAAAGAGGACAACAGAGGAGGAAGAAAAGAGTCAGGAAGGCTGCTTAATTATTCAAGATGTGACATAACAGCAGCATGTTGTTCGACAAACTTCTGTGTAACCCATTTAGAAGTAGGACTCTGCAGCACAGGCCCAGGTTTTGTTTTTTTTTTATTCAGGATGAAGCGAGGACAGCCGGAGCGTCTGCAGAGTTTGCGAGTGCATGAAGAAAAAAACGTCACTGTCTTTTTGTTTTTGTTTTTCTATAAGCTATCTTTGACATTGACTTTGACCCGCCTGCGAACAACACAAAGCAGAGGTGTAACAAAGCACTCATCTGTCAACCCCTCTGCTCCTCATTCTGCCAAATCATGCAACCAATGCAGGCGGACCTCCACAGTATGTCTAATTTTAGACTCCTGCAGCAGGATCCCACAAAGACCGACTGAAAGTTTCATCGCGGAGAGGAAATATTATAAAGAGGTTTCAGTTCAGGAGAAATCGATTATGTGCTGACAGGTCCGGTCTGCTTCGGTGACAGCATTTGGCGCTCCATCAAAGTCGGGACGCCTCAGCTGGCGGAGCTTCAAAGTGCAGAAGCAGCGAGGCGTTTGGAGTCCTCGAGATACTCGGAAAATTCCAGCGTCTCCCTGCAGGCCTGAGCAGCAGAAATACAAGTTATCTCCTACTATTCCTATTATTGATGAAACGACGACACAGTCGCTGATATTCCTGCATCAGAGATCTGAGATTATTGTAAGATTAGGAGTAAAAAGTGATTTGAGGATATTTAGACTTATGTTGGTATTTAAACAGTCTTCAAAGAGAGCAATAAGGTCAAATTAGTGACTCATCTGTGTGTATCAACTGGAGGTATTTCACCTCCATGAATCCTGAGGTGTTTAATCATGTTGGTCGTTCAACCTCCTTTACATGACATAACTGTGTTGCTAATGTTGCACTGAGTCAGGGTTCATTTTTCCTGGTATAGTTAGACAAACTTTTGGCCGCTGTGGGTTGCAATGTACTCGCCCTCTCTGTCTCTCTTTTCTCTCTGTGAGGCTTCGTCCTCGTTGGTGTTTGGCGGCTTCTTCTTCATCGGTGTTTGCGGCGTCTCACTTGTTGGTGTTCGGCAGCTATTTCTTCCGCTCAGCGGACTCCAGTATCGAAACTTGGAATTGAAATTTTTAAATTTGAATGATTCCGGGAGAATCGGAATGTTAGACCCGATCCCTATCAATGCTCGAGACTCGATGCCCAACCCTGCTCTTCAGTAACATGTTCACTTGTTTGTTTGAACTCTGTCTCTTATTGTTGAACCCTGCAGCTCGTTTGCACATGATCGTGCACACTTGTGATCTAGCGCAGCCTCTCTCTCTTGTCGTGCTCAGTCTGTCCTTCGCCTCGAATCGTTAAATATGTTGTGATTGAATAAACTTTGAGTCCAAAATAACCTGATGGTGGTCACTTCAAGTCTTGAGCTCGCCCACGCAGACTCAAACAGCTGTTTTCTTCTTCTTTGTTTGTTAATACGAACTCCGCAGTGACACTGAAACAGCCAGCGTCTCTTCGGTCACATCCATCAGAAGGTGGTAATAGCGTTTCTGAGTCCCCGGATTGATCCTGATGGTATCTGCGTTCCCGTAATTATGGTCCCTTTGTTGTGGAAAGTGCTTCAAACACAGGAGGAAAGTGATTTTTCAAACTGACGCATGAAGTCACTGAAAATGTCGTCATGAGCGTTATGATATTACATGAGGAAGTCAGAATTTCCACTCGGTCCAGATGGGTAATAACTCACGCTAAAGTGGGCCAAGCTTCGGGGTTTGTTTGATCCCTGTGTTCATGAAGCGTCCGAGCAGCTTCGCTGGTTTTGTCTGGCCGAGCGGGGGTCCGTGTGAAGCAGGAAGACTCGGCTTCAGCCAAAGACAAAACACAGAGAGGATCACAGGTCTGGAGCTGAGCTGGCTCCGTTTGAACGTCAGGTTCCCAGAAGCTCGCCATGAAAGCCAGCGGTTCCGGTTATAGTTCAGGAGCGCAGATTGTGTTTGTGTAGCAGGTCCAAGCTTTTTTACTCCTGCGCTGTTGTTTCCAGATTACGAGTCTGAATCAGCTGTGCAGCGTGATGTAGAAAAGACAAATAAATAGTGATAAAGAGTAAACAGTTTGGATATGATATCTCAGGGGTTTACTCAGGAATAATGGAAGTTGGCCTAACATTTACCTCTGGATGTTTACTCGGCTCATACACACAGTTATTGTTTTCACAAACAGAGCCGCACAATAGAAACACAGACGTTCACCTACAGCAGAAAGAGCTGCCACACTCACAATGTGCCACTCGTCTTCCTCTCGGACAGGACGTAACCTCAATGTGCCTTTCCTGGTCACAACTTTAAATTAATAATTCAATAAATAAATGCAATATTAAATGGTGTGACCGGATGGTTCCTCCTTACTTTCCCACCAGCGGCGGCCTTCGGGGACAAAGCGGTGCCACCTTCTGCGCTCAGACAAACGCTTTTGTTCCAGAAAAAATAAATGAAGGAGGTGAATTTCTGCAGTGCCACCCATTTTCTCCAAGTTTCTCCTCAAGTATTCGTCCTTATTTCTCTGTTGTGATTTCAAATAATGTCTCATAGAGGAAATATGAAACACAGATCCTGATTATAATGAGCGGCTGAAACAAGTCTGACTCATTTTCTCTCTCTTCCTCTTTCAAAATGATCGAGATTCATCAGATACCGTAACTGCTTTATATGAGATGAATGGACACACACACACTCACACACACACACGCTCAGAAACACAGAAGCATCATGTTCAAAGCTCAGAGTGGACTTCTGACATCACACGTTGACATTAGTGTCACTCTTCCTTAATGGTAAACTCAGGAATTTTCCATTCAGCCGGTTTCATGTCCACTTTTTCCTTTTTTTCGGTTTTTTTTTTTTTTTCTGGGCCGTTGAGGAGCGAGCGGAGAGCTGCGGAGGTCCAAACGTTTGAGGATGAGAAAAAAAGTTTCCTCTTTCTCAGAACTGAGACCTGAGAAGCGGTTATGTAAAATCCTGATGTCTGTCATTCATTTTCAACCCGGTTTTATTCATAACAACAACACACGTCGTGGTCGAAATATGTGTGTCTGAAAACAAGAGATGAATTAAATGAAATGTCTACCTCTGTTCAATTTAAACACTTTATATTAAAGTCCTTGTATTGAGCATGAATTAACAGTTTATAAGCTAAATATAAGACCTCAGAAGAGGCTTATTAGTAAGTGTTTATCAAGCGTAATGATAACATTTATTTCTTAGTTTATATCCCTGTCATGAACACTAATAGGCTGTTTATTACCTTTAATAAGACTTTATAACAGTTAATTAACGATATATGAACATATTTTTTTTCATTTTTCACAGTGAATCTCTATATTTACTCGCATGTTAAAAGATCTAATTTGCGTTTATAAGTGGCAAGTGCTTAGAGAGGAGCTTCCAAGCGATGATAAATAATAGTTATTTTAATAAAGCTTTGTTCAGTGATTTTGATGTAAATGATCATATTAATAAATATCAAAAGCTGCCTGATTGTTTTAATTGGTATAACTTCCCTCTAAGTGTATGAACAAGCTAATTATAATCATAACGTGTCCTATAATAGTCTTATAATAAAATAAACACCTTACTGATTTTTTCAATCAATTCATATTGATGTCTTTTTATGATGTCCAGGACCATCACGGTGTTAATTAAGCAAGTAGCAAAGACCGCTTTGTCCACAGGGGGCGCCAAACTCCTCACTGGAGCTTTAAATTGAGTTGAATTTCACTATTTAAGCTTAAATCAGAGTGTTGAGATAAATCTAAGTGTCAGAACCAAACTAAATACATTTTATTACCAGTGAAAAGTGATATATCATATGGTGCATTGTTATTTATATATTGAACATCGTATTGCATATTGAATTGTTTGCTCAAATGCTCAAAAACATCTTTAATGAGGAGTCACAGCGTAATTCTGATTGTCCACTGACATTTTATTGAAAAAGGAGCAATATAATAACATGTACAATAATAATAATAACAATAATATTAATACAAAAATCTGTACATTCCTTTGTTTTGCAGTACATTTGGAAGACTGATACAAAAGAACTGCAAAAAGGGGGACAGGGAGGTATATACACATGTCGAGTCTGTGGAGCCCGGGGGCTTTCTGTCACTTTTTTGTCTTCTTTTAAAAAGTTAAAATTCATGTTCATGCAAACTCTTGTGCAGCACGCTCTCTGCAGGGTTACAGCACGTTCGGCTTTAAGAAACAACTTTTAAAATCTTACATTCTCACGTGAAACAAAAGCACTGCAACAGAGAATGAGAAGTCAAGTAGTGTTGGTGATAAAGGAGGCTGGACTTCAGTCTGCATGAAGCCAAAACGACAGACATTAGAAAGAAGTTTGCACACAAGATAAAAATTGAGGTTTTGTCTCAAGTTGATGCTAAAATCCTCCAAACATCTCCTTCTGGATTCAGTCCAGCCAGCTCGTCATTCTTGTACTTTTTTTTACAGTAAAGCCTTCGCCACTTGGGCTGATTTCGTTAACTTTTTACCTCCAGATTAAGGCTTGTTGAAGTGGCTCAAGATAAGGATGTAAAAAGTGATAAACTGTACACACATTCTTGAAAAACAAACCTTATTAAAACTCCTACATGTTCTACTTCTCTGTACCAAATCTAGCCAGGTCTTTGATTTCAGAAAGGCAATAACTATGATAATAATAATTATAATAATAATAATACTCTTTGGCACTTTTTTATCAAACGTTTAAAAAAAAAAAAAAAAGCAACATCATAGCAGCACTTTTAAGAACATTCAGATTCTCATAAACCCCGGTCTCTTTAAATTAACGATTTTCTCTGTCAGTTTGATGACGCTAATACTCCCCTGCTCTGTCTCCTCGTGAGCAGGCATGTTTCTATCAGTCTAACCAGCGATGAACAGTCTCTCAGGTCCAGGATAAAGAAATCAGTGCTGTGTAAGAAGAGGAAAAAGTGAAGGACACGTCTGTTGACCTTTAGAGAAACGTTTTAATCTGATGTCTTAAATGAGACCAGCTCCTGAACAAATACTCTACTGTACCGACTTTGTTCCAGACATCTAACCTTTAGTGTACTCTCCGCTTCTACCAAACAAGTTTGACTTTGACTATTTTCTAGCAGCACTCAGGAGCGTTTTTAAAAGCGCTCCTTTCGGAAAGCGTGTTGTTCAAGCCGGACAGACAAACTGAGACATGCCTGCAGTTTTCAAGTCTTCACAACTCTGCAGCCACCAGACACCAAGCACACATTCATGGGGACTTTATTGAGAATTCCTCCTGCAAAATGCACATTGTCCATGGTAGTGCTATGTTTTGTCATACTGCATGTAGTCAAAGTTCAGACTGACTCCTACATACAAAGTCCAACCCCTCGCCGCTCTCCTCAGCAGTACCGTTCCGCTTGCCCTCTTCTACCCCAGGCCCAGCTCTGCTCGCCGTGCCTTCAGGAGCAGAGAGGTGAATTCAGACAAACCCTCACAGCAGGTCTGAGGGCTCAGCAGTCATATTTCGGACTCTCGTCTCAGAGGACGGGGCTCTAGTGGCACCGTGGCCTGGCTGTGCTCGTTCTCTGAGATGTTGTCTGTTTGGGTGCCGTCGGGCCCCACGCTGCCCCCGTTCCCCTCGTCGGTATCGTCTTTGTTCTCTAGTGCCATCTCATTTTCGTAGCAGAAAGAGTTGGAGCTCGAGAGAATGTATTTTTTCTCTGCGAGGTCTCTGGCGCTGTACAGTGGCGTGCTCGGCACCTCGTATGTCTTGTGGAAGCGGGAATAGTCCACCTTGTAGTAGTTTTTCTCCTCGAAGAGCACAGGCTCGAATCGGTGACCCCAGAGGATCTCGCTGGCAACGTAGGAGCTGCGACACTGCGTGGTCATGGCGGTTGCCTCCACCATGCCCTCTAGGATGACCACAATCTCAAAGTCAGAGGTCTCTAGGTCCTGTTTGCTCATGTCGTAGAAGGGACTGTCCTCATCGATCTCATGGACGATGGTGATCGGGGAGACCAGGAAGATGCGGTCGACCCCGCTGTCAAAGCCGACATCTATGTCCATCTGGTCCAGGGGGATGTACTCCCCCTCTGCTGTCGTGCGGGATCTCAGGAGTTGAGCTCGCACATGTGCCTCAACGAGGTGGCTCTTCCTCAGGTTGCCTACACGCCACATCAGGCAGAGCTTATTGTCCCTCATGGCTACTGTGGCGTTATGGCTGAAAACCAGCGTCTCATTCCTCTTCTTGGGCTTCGCCATCTTTGCCATGACTGCGCCGATGATGAAGGCGTCGATGATGCAGCCCACGATGCTTTGGAAAACCACCATGAAGACGGCGATGGGGCACTCGTCAGTCACGTATCTGTAGCCGTAGCCGATAGTCGTTTGGGTTTCGATGGAGAACAGGAAGGCAGCAGTGAAGCTGCTGACATTAGAGACACACTTCGGGGCGTCACTTTCCAGGTCTCCATGAAAGATGGCCACCAACCAGAAGACACAGCCGAAGAAGAGCCAGGACAGGAGGAAGGCAAGGCAGAAGATGATGAACATCCACCTCCAGCGGATGTCGACACACGTAGTGAAGATGTCAGCCAGGTATCGCTGACCTTTCTCGCTCACATTGATGAAGTGTACATTGCAGTGACCGTCTTTCTTTACGAATCTGCTCTGCGGCTGATGTCTGGTGTGCACCTTGCCCTTGCCGTTCCCGTAGCCGTTAGGCACTGCCATAGTGGCAAGCTTCATGCCGTCCTCCTCTGATGACACAATGCTGTAGCGGCTGGCTCGCACGCTTCCCATCACCTCAGTCTGGGAGGGCTGTGCTGCTTCTGCTTTGGAAAACAGTCTGAGTTTCTGGAAAAAGCGTTGGAGAAACAGTTTTGAAACGCTTTGGGGGACCGACTCAAAGAAGAAATGGTGACAAAAAGAGGCGGGCTGAGGGAGTGCCTCTTCAGCTGGCCTCTTGGTGGAGAAGAAGAGGATGAAGTGGTCACTCCTCTTTCATCAGCTGGCTGGACTTCATCGGGTTCATCTGCTTCAAGAAAACACACAGAGAAAACATGTCAGTGAAAACAGTCCCAGGTTGATCTAAGACTTCTAGAAAGTCACATTCAGTCGCAGCGCTGTAGAGGCAGAGTTCGACATCTCAGCAGACACCGGCTGGATTCACTCGGCTTTGACATGTCAGAACTGATAACTTCACTGCTGAGTCAGGCGTGCATGCAGCCTGAGAAAACCCATCAAATCTTCAGACCCGGTGCCAGAAGAGCTCTCTGGGCTCTGCCAACAATATTTCATCCAGTTATGACGAACAAAAACACTGATATTTAACCCCAACCTAACATTTCAACTCTCACTGAGAGAGGCCGCCCTGTAATTAGACTCAGGTCCCGTTATCGGTCATTTACAAAGTCCACTTGTTTGTCTTGGCTGCCCCGCTCTGACTCGGCCGTTTCTTTCCTGGATTGTGGGTTACAGCGTTTCTGCAGGATCCCATGAACTGATGGTTTTACGCTCCTGATGGATCAAGTTAAAGACTTTAACTTTGACATTTTCTCTAAGTTGCAGAACGATTTTCTGGATGTTTTTTTGAACAATTTGCGGCAAGAAACTAAAAAAGCAGAGCTGTTACATAAAACAAACCAAAGATATGTCGAGTCTTGAACTGAATTTTCATCGAGTAACAATGAATTTTATAAGTTAAGAGAATGAAGTAGAAGTGAAATCGAGCTCCACCAAAAAACAGCTAATGTCTATAGAAGCTGCTGTTTGTTAGGTGGTGAAAAAGTTAGTTTTGTTTGTCATTCCTAAATTATAACATCCTCAACAACAAATTAAATCTGAAACAAGTAGCAGTTTAAATCTACGTCTGACATAAATATCAGGGATATTTTGCATAACTGAATGTATTTTTCACTAAAATCATGTTACCAGCTGAGATGACTGTGCATATTAGACTTTAATGTGCATGTAACAGTGAAAATATAGGTGACTTTTTTCATAAACCCAAGTGTTTACCTCATGTTTTTTCTATTTTGACGATTGCAGGTGGCTCAATGGAAATCTAAGTCCAAAATAGTGAAATTTCACAGTCAACACTACTGGAAAGGCAAAAATAACAACATATGATCTTTTTAAAACCACTATCAGCCATTCACTAACATTAAATCTACCTAAAACATGCTAACTTTGATTTATATGTAATTTTATAAAGAACAACACAGCTCACTGCTCTGAATCTGAAGTGAATTTCACATTTTTTCTGCCTCACTCAGTCGGTTGAACTCGTCTTTGACTTCAGAGCAGCTTCAGAGGACAGTGTTAGTTTGTCTTTGTGCAGAGGAGATGCACAGCTTGTTGACTCTCACAGCGTCCTCTGGGATTTCTCCTCTCATACTGCAATAATAGCCGTCCTGTGAGGATTCTCCGGCTCGTCTCAAACACCACTCATTAGTTTTGGCTGTCCTGGCAACAGAGAAGAAATCGACCTGCAGCTGCTGCTGCTGCAGTCCTCCTGACTCCTCTTTATCTCCTTTTCTTGATCTTTTCAGGCTTTTCTGGAAGTTTCTGAAGTTAGTGATCGGCTCAAAGTGAAAGGCTGAACACAGACAATGTGATTCGAGCACAGCTGCAAGTCACTGAGTCATGCTGAAGTTTCAGATGTGCCAACGCCAAAGCGGCTGATGCAACTTGTCTTCAAGGCTTTTACACATGAAGGTGCACATTTGGGATGCACTTTGCAGCTTTAACAACATCTATACAAGCAGGTGGCATCTCACTCACGCACCACTGATCCTCATGCCTGACGATAAGCAATGTGTAGACTCGGTTAGGTGGTTGCTGATGTGTCCACTCTGGAGAGGCTGCTGCAGCAGGTTGTTTGTCTTTCATAGAACCTCAAAATGAGCGTTTTTGTTCAGTTTATCAAACTTATTAAAGACATTAAGTCCTCCTTTCTCGAACTAAACTAACAATTGAACAGATGTTTTATATTAACCTCAATAAAAGCGGGCTTTATCCGGTATTATTCAGCAGTATGTGACTGTTAGACGGGCCGAGCTGCTCTCGGAATGAGCCAAATGCCAGCGACAAATGTTAACAGGTGCGAGGGGAGAAAAGGGAGCAGACTACTGATGCAATCATTCACACGCACAGCCCTGCACACGGAGACACACACGCTTCATCCAAACTCACGCCACCACAATAAGGACCCAGATCTTCACATCGTGAAATGAGATATGAGGAAAATATGCGCGGATCGAGCGAAACTCTTGGCGGGTCATCTGACAGTTGTTGAAGCAGCAGATGTCGTGCGTAAAAGGCAGGAAGTCTGCGCGTCATGGAGAGTTAAGAAAAACCCACTTTTTTCCCTCAGAATGAGACTCTGTCCGCCAAAAGAAACAGTTCTGACATGCTCAAAGCTCTTCCTAATGTTATGAAGTCTAATATGAGAGGAGTGTTGGTTCTACCTGTTGCTCATTTGTGGACCTGTTGATGCAGCCTGTTGAAATATAATCCAGACGGAACCTCTCCGCGTCCTTTTCCTTGTTTTCTTTTTTGTTTGTTTGTTTGTTTGGACCGAAAAAAAGCTCAAGTGTTAAAGTTCCCTCACATCTCTGGAGGACCGGTCTCGGTAATGTGCCTCGCGATGAGTTTCCCCAAAGCATTTTAATAGGGAACGCACCGGTTCGGCCCGCCCCCCCTCCGGCTCCGCGAGCGGCCAATGGAGAGGGGAGGAGCGCGCGCTGAGAAAACAGGCGCAATTATTCCGTGTTTTTGTGCAATTCAGAGTGTTTGATCAATACTGGTGATGTGAGGAGAACTGAACATGGAAGTAATGAGAGGCAATTTGACGCTAATTGAGCAATGATACCTTCAAGCTTAATGTGGGGAGGGATGGAGACGTGAGGAGGGGGGGTCAGAGAGTTCAAACACTGAGAAATAAACTCAAATAAACAACTGTGCATCATCAATTCATCAAAGTGGGTGAAGAATAATTAATTCTTTATTGATGTTTGTGACAGGAGCGGTTCAGTCCGATTGAAAGGTGGTCCAATCCTGCAAAGAAAGTTTAAATTTCCATCAAACTTTCCAAAATAAACAGAAAAACTTAAAACATGATGAGCACACTTTTAAAAACATCCATTTTCCAACGATGGATGTCAAAACAATAATATGATTTATTCTAAATTGAAAGCTTGGACAGAGTTGACTGCTGTGTTTGAGACCACCTGCTGTTTAAAGTTTGCAAAGCAAACGGCTCACCAGCCTCTTTTTAGTGATATCCGCTGTTTTTATAGATCTTATTTTTTAATGTGGGTATGGAAAATGTGTTCTGTTGGAAAGAATGAGTCACTCAATAAAGGCCTACATGCCTGTATTATGATATGACTGTCTTTCTCCACTGAGCTATCAAGTTGCTCTGGATGTTTAGACTATGCATCTGTTGCCCTATAATTTTAGGTCAGGCTGAAGCCGTGTTGTCGTAAAGCCGTTGACTAAATCATTCTTCCTGCTTACTAATTCATCCTAAACATTAACACGCGGCTGCAAGTTTTCCAAAACGGACTTTTGAACTGCTGGTTTTCCCCCCTGTGAGCTTTATTTCTGGCTCTGGTTATTTATAGCAGCACGTATATTTAGCCCAAACCACCTGTGTCAGTGAACTGTGCGCACGTTGTGAGTGTTTGCTTTCCATGCCCAATTTCCAGCAATAAAGAGAGCGATGCATGCAGCAGCCAGTGCTGCGTGTGGACCACAAGGTGGAGAGCTGGAGACTGGAATGAAACACTGATAAGCTCACACACACACACACACACACACACACACACACACACGGAGAGAGAGCTTTGTAGTGTGAGCAGGCAGCAGACAGAGGAAAAGGAGAAGGAGGGTGCTGAGACTGAACTCCTCAGAAACTTCTGTCTTTGCAGATCCTGCAGAACTGGGACCTGGTAAATTAGTAATGAAAGCTAAACTTTTAAATAGACGACTAAAATCTTAATGGAATTCAGTCACAAGCTTTTAAAAATATTTTTTATTGGTTGAAATTTTGAAAGCTCACTAGCAGATATAAAAGACGACTGATATCACTGATTGATTTAAAAACATTTTAACAATAACAACAGATATGAGGTTTTTGTCCAGCAGTGATGTCAGGCATCTAGATTTTTTAAGGCTCCAAATAATTGCTCAATAGCCCCCCCTAAAGTTTTTCAATAAAACCTCCAGTTTTTTTCACCTTCATGTAGAACCAAATTAGTCAAATCAAGACCAATGAGATGAAAATTCCCTTGACTACCTCGAAATTTTTCCTCTTTTTAGTTTCAATTTGAGCATTTGAACTTCATCCAATCGACTCTAAGCACAAAGTATAGTGGACAGTAAAGATCAGAACTTTTCAAACTCCTGAGTTTTTGTCTGTGGGTGTGGCAAAGATGGGCGTTTCCCTGTGAAACAGGAAGAAGCTTCATCTCAGCCATGCATGACACTTTTGGCTGTGGGGCGAGTGTCTTTTTTTTGCGTCCTTCTCCATCACAGCTCCTGTAGCTAAGCTGCTATGCTACTTTTAGCCGCTCAGAGCTCCGAGGAGGGCTGGGAGAGTGGGAGGAGATGAGTCGGAACTACGGGAGAGGGGTGTGTCGAATACAGCGAGGTGATTGGATGGAGAGACGGAGCAGGAGATTGACCAATAGGAGCTGTCCGGGACGGATGGCTCCCATTGGTCAATGTTTTTGCAGCCCTGCACCTGTAAGGGTGAACAGATTTTTTCTGTTCTTTTTTTCTCTTCACTTTGTTGAGATCGCACTATAGGACCATGATCACCATAGTAACGAGGTTCATAATGATTAACAATATCTCCAATTGTCAACCATGACTTTAAGGGGAGATGTTTATGATGGACACTGCAAACAGCAGTCCAGCAGCATATAAAACAGCCATCATCGTCATTACCTTAACCAGTTTGTCATTCTTTAATCTGTTCAACATCTCGAACCATTAGGAGATCCGAGAACTTTGCTTCTGATGATCCAAACCATCAGTGAAAGATCAGACCGTTAGATGTGAGAAGTTCCCAGTAAACGAGCTCCGTCAGGGTCTCGTGACCTCCGGTGTGGGAGTATCGTCACCAGCTTTGGATTGATCTATTTTGATCCGGATTGGATGAAAAGAAAACCTGTTTTTAATGGGATTACACGGAGAAACGAGCAGCAGCAGCAGGTTTCAGAGGAGCGTCTGGTTGATTTTGTTTGTCTGGTTATGTGACATCAAAGTGACAGTCCTGGAAACAGGATCTGTGTCAGACCGATCAGAGGAAGTGAAGACACAAACCAGACGTTAAAAATCTCTTTATTGAAGCTGTCGGCTCAGGTGGAAGTTTGATGAACTGGACTATTACAGCTTGACTCTTCTGTGTTTTACTAGAAACTGTGTATTTCCACCACCACACACTAAAAAAGGCAAACATGTCATTCTGATAACCTCACTGATTAAAAGAGGACTTCTATTCATTCATTATCAGTAATGACCCACTGAAAAGCTTTAATTTGAATAAATACGTCCTGACATGAAGTCAAAGTTATATAACATGTAGAATAATACAAACAGACCTCTTTTTAAAATAAGTTACAGACTCAGTCCAAGTTTGACTCTTCTCATTTCACAAAAAATTAAAAATAGAAATATGTATAGAAAGACAGTCACGCCATACGGTCCAATAGACCAGATACCCAAGGCAGTCATCTTCTTGTGAGGTCACACTCAGGGAGGGGCACTTGTATACTGTTACGAAGTATTACTGCTGTGTTCTTGGTCATAAATCATATAGACTCCAATAATCTGATAAATTATGACAGTAATTTGCAGCTGTTTCCCATCCTGGCTGAAGCTTGCTGAAGCATGTGGGTCTGGAACCGCTCTCATTTTCAATGTTCTCCAAATGTACCAATGTTATCACAGTCCTTTATTAAAGGTGATGAACCAGGCATGCTGTGTCAGCGTACTCGTAAACAACCAAGACACACGCTGAGTTAATCTGATAGGTTGGAGGTCTGTACGATCCCTTCAAACGCCCCCGGGAAAATGAAATGAAATGAAGTGAATGGTTCCAGATCCGATCACAAAGATGGCGACGCTGGGCCAAGCCTTAACATAGATGTCATGGTAGCCCTTTATTTATTAAGGTTAACTCTATATTTCTGCTGTACATTATTTACATGAAATAGTTTGTCAGACACTTAGACCTTATATCTTGCTGTAGTTGTAAAAAGTTTTAAAAGTCCGTGTTGGTTACAGTTGATAGCAAATGTGGTAAACAGGATCGATAAGTTGGCATTGTTATATAGAGTATACAAACTTTCCTACGTGACTATTGAGATGAAAAGTGATGCTTTAGCAGTCAGAGATGGGATACCAGCAATCGAAATGCTTGTCTCTGTAGGCTCTCCTTCATCCAGGTCATGGTTATCCAACTCTTCTTCTGGACTTGTTTGAGGTTCTTAAAGACAATCCTCCTCTCTTCCAGTAGGATTCTTCAGTTCTACAGCGACTGGGGCCAAAGTTGGAAATTTATGGCCTCTTGTTAGTCATCACACTCATGATACCTGGAAACAAAAACCATTGCTGCGCCAGTTGGCCTGGTGGTTTGCACCATGCAATGAGGCCACAGTCCTTGTTGTAGCGGTTTCTGGCTCCACTTGTAGATTCAAGTCTCTGCTGTGGTCTTACCCCACCATCTGCTTTAGCTGTCTTTTCTAAGATAGGCTCAGGAGCCTGACAAATAACTAAAAAAACAAATATATTTACCATTTCAAAAACACATCTTAAGATTCCCTCAGTATCTTTGACCGTGTGCTTGTTGAGGACCTTTTCGGTGGCATGGCTCAAACGTCCGTTGTTGACTTTTTGTTTAAACCGGGTTAGCCAGACCATCACTACAGACTAACGGTGAGACAGGCACAGTGTCCGGTCTCAACTCGTCTTTTACTTTTCTGAATCTGTCAGGTCATTAGGCAGAGTCAAAGTGTTTCGCTCTTGACCGCCTGCTTCAGATGTGGAATCAGTTGCATCAGGGCGACCGTCATTTACCATCTCCACCGTAACCTTTGGTGGTTTTAGATGTTTTTCTTCGTGGTTTTGCTGGGACTTTGTGGAGGGTCGTGGAGAGGATCTAGGTGAGAGGCGAGGTGAGTGGCGAGGGGAGAGTCGTGGGGAGTGTCGCGGCGAGTGTCTGGGAGATGGCCTCAGCTGCTTCTTTTGTTCATACGCCTCAGCACTGACCTCCGGAACCAGAACTTTGGCAGTTTGATTGAACAAGGTGTAATCCACCCTGTAGTGCCTCCTGCTGACCCGGATCATCTCCTGGAACAGGTGACCCCAGAGGATTTCAGCAGGAGTGTACGAGGTTCGGGTCTGGTGCAGCATACCTGTGGAATCGTCTGTGTAGGTAAAAGACACCACCAGCTCAAAGTCTGCTTTCCGCAGATCTGCCAGACTCATCTTGAACAGGGGGCTGCCAGGTTCGATCCTGTGGGAGATGGTGGCTGGTGTGACCAGGATGACGTCCTTCTGTTTGATGACCAGGTCTTCGTAGGACACATCCACTTTCCCTGTTGCATGTACAGTGGAGCGCACAATCTGAGCGAGAGCAGTTCCTTCAACCAGATGATTCCTGCGAAAGTCTCCAACTCTCCACGAAAGACACAAGAACCCATCCCGGAGATTGATGACCGCACAGTTACTGAAGCCGACCGTCTGGGCCCTCTTTCTGGCAGAGGCCATTTTGGCAACAACAATTCCAATGACAAACGTGTCGATGAAACAGCTGATGACATCCTGTATGGTTACAATGATAATGGCGATCATACAGTTCTCAGACATCCCTCTGGAGCCGTAGCCGATGGTGGTTTGGGTTTCTAGTGAGAAGAGGAAAGCAGCTGTGAAGCTGCGCACTTCGTACATGCAGGGGTCATTTGTGTGGTTTTGCATGTCTCCGTGTGCAAGAGCGATAACCCAGTACTGGATCCCAAAGAAAAGCCAGGAGAGGATGTAAGACAGGGCAAAGATCAGGAACATGACCCTCCATCTTATCTCCACCAGGGTGGTGAAGATATCGGTCACAAACAGCAGCCACTCCTCGGGAACATGCCGGAACACCACGTTACAGGTTCCCTCTTTGCGGACATACCGATGTTTCTTTGGCTGAGGTCCGTTCTCTGTCTTCACACTGACGTCTTCAGTGGGGCTCACTGAGGTGTACTGTTTATACATCTTCAGGAGTCTGTGGAGGAAAACAAAAGAACCATCACTGGTGTTAATAATCATTGAAAACATCAGGCACTAAGACACAGTTACTGTGAGCTTTTTTCGAAGCCTCTCAGATTTTATGTGCAGCAGGGCCATCTACAAAATCTGTGTTTGTTTTACTACTGAGGGGACCAACGTTTGTAATCCTTAAATTTTATGATGATAATGATAATAATAAGAGTTTAATGCAAAGAGAAAGTTGGGATGGCTGGTTTGGGAGACCAAATATGGGGTCCTAAGGCCTAATCTGTGCTTGATAACGTGCATTTTACATTTTTCCACAGCTGGAAAAAGAAATAACCAAAATAACCAGGTCAACAAATATTCAGAGTGCACTCTAACGGCTTTCCCTGTCCCTCTTCACACAAAAAAATAAAAATAAAAAAAACAGCCATCCATCCAAACTGCTGCGCCAATTTTCCAACTTTTTCTTCCAGCATGTATTTTTGGAAGAAAAAATTAACAGCAGAGTCCTCTGTGTACCAAAACGTTGGCCGATCATTGGGAATCTCCAGCCTCTTACTAACCCTGATGTAGTATCTCATATAAATACACAATAATCAGATCTTAGCTGACGGGAAAAAAACACTCAGAGAGGTTTTTGATGCCATTTCTGCGCTTGTTCCTGTTGTGGATTATTATCATAATGTTTTTCCCAGTCATTTAGTTTTTCATCCCCGGAGATTCAGTTTATGAAGCTGTTTGAACATGTTTTACTTTCCTTTTTGCCTCTTTTCATATTCTCACATATCTTATCACTCTGGTCAGTCCTTGAGATGGAGGAGGGGATCATCCAAGACCAGATTCAGGTGTGTTAGTGCCTCAGTGCCTGATTGGCTTGAGTGAGACCAGGTAAAGGAAGGTGATATAAACCCTTGAGTTAGGTACATCTGTGCATCCAGACCGTTATTTTTCCCTCTCCTTTTATCCCCTGGGTAACTTTTACAACCTCTTACTCTTACTACTCCTCTTCCTGACATATAAGAAACATAGATTTGTACAGTTTGTGGTGACAGAGCTACTAAAATAAGCAAATGTGGTGCTGAGAAAGTGAGCTGCTGAACTGCTGTGACTGAATGAACCAAAGCTGATCGCTATGACTGCAGGTAGAGATGACAGAAGAAAGCTAGCAGTGAAAAATCAAGATGTCAGATCTGCATTTGGCGTTCAAATTTATGAATGGAGTCAGCGATTTATGTGGCGTTATAAAGCCTGAACTTTCGAGCTCAGCCTTGTGGCCCCTCAGCAGCAGCTGCAGCCTCTCAGTTTGCTGCTGATGGTGAGTGAGGAAGAGCCGCCTCCAAGAACAAACAATGAGCCTGTAGGAAGAGTTCCCAACGGGATATCTAAAACATAAACGAAACAGTACCTGACACTTTTGCCTTTAAATTGATGTGTTAACAAACATATTCATGGTTTCTACAGAGGAGTTAAAAGAGTTAACTAGTGACGCCGTTTTATTGTACGCCTAAAGATCACACAATGAGCATGCTCCAAACTTTATCAATCACAGTGAATTTTCCTGATTTTTACCTGCTGTGTTCCCTGACTTCTTTCAGAATTCGAACAAGGAAAACCCAGGTGAAGTATTTAGTAAATGTATGTTTACAAATGCAGCCCACCCTGACCATCTGAGGACTTTTTCAGGGGTCTTGTGTACGTGTGAATACAGCAATAAAGAAATGTTTCCATTCTGCGGTTTCTGTTCACCAAAGCGATGGCCCCAGACCTTTTTTTTCTTCTGGGTGGTGGTCAAAGAGCTGTCAGCGGTCCAATAAAGGAAGCGCCACAGCTCTGAACTGGTCTAAGTCAGCAGAGGAAAAATGAATGTGGAAACTGGAATAGTGTCACGGTGCGATCACAGGCAGAGGAAGGATCAATCACAGCCAAACCACTGAGAGCATCCTCTACGCCCAAAACAAATGGGGTTTGAATCACCGCTATCTGACTGAGTGAACTGGGCTCCTCTCACAGACTCCACTTTATCCTGGCTTCAGCCGGCGTCCACGCTGCCAGACTGTGGAGCTCACTCCATGAGGTCACAGAGATGAGGTCCTCTTAGCTTCCCAGGGTCCCTCAAATCCACAGTAAAGGAATATAAACACGGACACTTGGAATCCATTAATGCTGAACAACATCTACAGGTTTAGGAGCAACATCTGCTGCACTGGACACTTTACATTTGACAACAGGGATTACAACAGCATGGCTCTGTAGGAGAAGAGTCCTGCTGGGAAACTAGCTAACTATACAACAAGAGACCTCAGATGGTTGAGCAGCTGAAATCCTCTATCAGGCAAGAATGGGACCGTGTTTCTCCAATCTCCAGAAACTGGTCTCATCAGTTCCCAAACCTTCACAGAGTGTTGTTAAAGAAGAGCTGATCTGTTGCTGGCACCGTTTGAGAGCACTTTTCTCAAGAACATCTGAAATGTTGTCTTTGTACTTTTATATTTCGACTTTAAATGATCTGCAAACCATAAAATCTGCTTAAGCGTCATTTTCACATCGCGCTAACTTTTTCTGGATTTGGTGTTGTACCTCATTCACGGGGAAACAGCTTACGTTTTACTGCAAAAACGCCGATGCTCTCCTCCAACAATTGGTACAAAGTTCTGTCATTTTATCGTCCTGCTCTGGTGAGTCTGGACAAACTCAATAAACTCGACAAACTCAATAAAACGTCTGCTGGTTCTGCATGAAGATCAAGTGGACTTAGCAGCTTTAACTGTGAGTTGTAAAAATAAAAAAAGAAAGAAATCAGACCCTTGTGACTAATTTAAAAAGTAGAAAAAGTTACATAAGATCTCTCCCATCTGTTTCAGATGGTTTAACTCCCAAAGACAAATTTATCCATTCATTAACATGATTAAACTGCTGTTGGAGGGAGTTTCACAAGAGCAGCATCTGGAGTGTCTGGGACATAAAACTCTGGATGTTTCTCAAGACACTCAGCAGGATTTCTCTACCTCCTCCTTCACTTGTTGCATGCTTGTATACAACTACAAACACAGTACTGCATTGTTCTTGAAGGCTGCAAAGTGCAAATCAAGTGCAGAGCGACGAGCCTCTTTAAAAGCTCGGCGAGTCTAACGATATGCGTTTGGACTCAGTGATGTGGTTTCTCCTCTGCGCAGCCCGGCTCGTCCCCTGTGTTGTGTTGACCCACTAGGTTGAGCTGTTTTCTCCACATTCACTCTACCCCTTTGCGGAGCTTATGACCTGAAACAAACTGCTCTGTGTACAAAACAAGACATCACAGAGAACAACCCCCTACAAGCAAAACACAGCCTGACCTTTGGCACAAAGTTTCCGCTGCACTCTGCCTGAACGAGGCTCGGATACTTTCATATTTCTGAGGTTTTTATCCCCCTCAGAGCGTCTTTTGTATTTAACGTTAGAGTCCAGGTCCGTCACCCGCCGCTGACAGTAGGATGAACTCTGGAAACAACTTAGCCAATTGGCTCGTTTCCTCTGCTGCTCGGGGCACTTACAACTCCATTACATGCTCACTTACTGCAAATGACATTGTGCCACCCATCTGTGGTTCACTGAACAGAGCCCTGTACATGGGTGGCTGGTCTTAAATCTGCCCTGCAGCTTTCTCCCACCTTGAATGACTTTCAAAACTTCGGCACTGCAGATATTTCCGTCTTCACGGCTCACTGAACCGCTCACTCGCCTGTCAGATCGAGCCTCCTGCAGCGGGAGGAAGATCACTCAGCTTCTTCTGTGGAGAAGTTTTAAACCCGATGGAAAATCTGCTCCTAAGTTTGTTTGACTACAGTTTGAAGGCCGGGCCGGAGGAAGGACTCCTGTCTTTCATTTTCTCCTCCTGAAGGTTAATGGTTTATCCGAGCTTCAAAGCACCAACTGAACCAGAGCACGTGTTTGGTTTAGTTTTGCTTCATCACAAAAATCTCTGTCTTGCCTCTTAAAGAGAACACCAGGTGCAGGATTTCAGCTCTTGCACGTGGATTTTAAGCACAGATTCAGACTCCTCTCTGTCTTTACAGGATTTAAGTTTGACGTTGCACCGCTAACCTGACATTAAATAAGATATATAGGCAGTTGACGATTAGTCGATTTTAAATTGTAATCGGATTATTTGAATATGATGATGTTAAAAAAATTAAATTAGATTTTCCTCTCTATCATGTCTCACGCCTCCAGGCCCTTCCTGCGAGAGCGCTCCCCGGTTCCCACACACACCTGTGTAAACAAACATGGCGTTTGCAAAAGAAGGCGATAATTTTGTACGGCTTTACAATTTTGGATGAAGGACAAACCACTTCCCGCTGCAAAGTCTGTCTGGAGGCGGTATCAACCCGTCCACACGGAAACAAATTCAGGAGGAAACGCTACAGTTTTTTAGCGTATCGGCATTTCATCTGCACGGAAACGACGTTTTCGGTGACTGTAAACTGTACTTTTTGAAAACAGGTCAGAGAGTGAATAAATCTGTAAACGACGACCATTTCATCTCCGTGTGGATGTCTATCTGCATCTCTGGAAACGATCATGTGACACACAGCGTAACTCTTTTATGGCGCCAAAACAACCTTTATACACATGCTCTGTACTCTTCTTCTGTCTTTTGTGCATTTCCTGGGCAGCGTTACAGCGCCACTTACTGGCTTGGCATATGCACGACATCGTTTTCAGAGAGATGATAGAAAAACTTGGTTTGGTGAAGTTGTCATCGAAACATCGAAAATCGAGTTTTCAGAGAAAAAGATTCTTGGCCAAACTCCCGCAGCCCTGGCGGTCAGTTTGTTATCTCTCTTTGTTTTCATCCTCTTGAAGACCAACTCGACCCTCAGACTAACCAGCTTTGCATGCTCCAGTGTTTCAAAGATCAATACTCTCGTATTTATCAAACAGTAGGTCCTGTTGTGTCAGCAGAGCTGCTGCCTCACACATTCATCTCATGTCACCCTTTAAAACACAACACACAAAAGACTCATAAAGTAGTCACAAAAGTTTAGATTAATTCATTAAGTCTCTCGTTTTTTTATAGATTAAAGAATTACACATAAAATCCTCAAATATTGAACTCTTTGTCTCTAATCCACCAGACTTTTTTTCCAAATGTAAAAACTTCCAAAAATTATCATAATTCCAGTTAAAATAATCCATCAGACTCCAGCATTTAATGTTTGACTCTCCCAAACTCCTCAAATCGCTGCTAATTCCTGTATTTAAAGACTGCAATAAAAACCTTTTGTTTCTACGTCAGATCTCAGTCTGGAACTTGATCCCAAACTTTCCTTATCACCTTGACCACATCTTGTTCAGTCTTTCTGTAGCATTCAGGGATTGTGTTACCGCTTGTATTAATGCTGCAGCTCAGATTACTGATTGTTGTGCTGACCACAACCTTTATACCCACCAGCTTTTGTTCACTCTGACACCTTTAAACCAGCAGCAGAGGATGATACTGTAACTCCAATATGAGTTTTAGGAAGAAATAAAGCTTTAAAGATCACATCTACACTTTAGGAGCAGTGAAGTTAATGTTTAGTAAAGATTTTAATCCGATTAGGAAGTTAAATAAACAACTTTTTTGACTTGTATGACCGCAGCGTCTTACATAATTTACCCCAAACACATCAAGCCTCCTTTTCTGTGTCTGATTTACAGATTAAACATCAATCAAACACTCTGACTTCTGATCTGCACATGAATATCATCTTTAAATCAGATTTCTCAGATTGGTTCTTACCTTTTAAACGCTGGATCAGCTGCAGGAGTGTGTGCACCTGTGTGTGCGTCTGTGTGTGTGTGTGTGGGACAGCTCTCTGCAGGGTTGCACAGTAGTTCAGCGGTCACCTGCAGGAATGAACCAGCCGGCTCGTCACAGCAAAAACTAAAGATTAACACCTCCTACAGCATCACATGGTGCGGCACAGACCCGCGTCTGTTTGTGTTTGTGTCTCTGAGAAAACATGAATATGAATGAGGCTGCAGAGAGGGCCAGGATCAGACTTAGAGGTGTCACAAGAATAAGACAAAAACTTCTAAACTGTGATCATATAAACTTTTCAAAGTGTTGAAATATTACCATGATCTTTTTCTTTCTTTTTTGTCCGACATTTTCTCGACCAATCAGTGACATTTCGAGTGTCCAAAGTGTGATCTTTTCACTCTAACCCATCAGAAGGAGGTTTTAAAATCCACAAAAACCAAGACGGGCACTCAGACAGCTTAGACCTCCGCAGAGGCCAAAAGTCCATGATGCACAAATCTGCAAGTGCAACCACCATGTCTGGATATAATGGTCAGATCCGCTATTACTGCTCGTTTGTGAGTCAGATCAGGATCTTGTCTATAATTTAATCGGTCCTTCCTCGGCCAGTGCTACACCCTTCCACCAAGGTTTGTACGGATGGTGCCAGTTTTCTGTAATACTGCTGACGGACAAACAGACGTAACCAAAAACACATCCTCCTGGGCGGAAAAGAAGAGACGGGTCATTAGATGAAATTGCTTCTTCATATTGACCAGAGTTAGGTATAAGTGTCTCTATCAGGGTAGAAAGACTATCTTAAAGCTTGTGTAAGAACTGGACCTCCTTTTACAGCTTCGATAACACTCCTTTATTCACCGCAGCAGATATTACCAACAGTTGGACCCTCTTCTTCCTTTGAGGATCTCTCTGAAAGACTTAAGATCCCTTATTCCCTGCCTGACACTCCTTAGAGAGCTTAACTCTTTCTCTCTTTTACTTAATAACTGCTCTGCAACCAAACTCTCTGCATTGTCCCGAGCAAAAGGCCGAACTCGGGTTTCAAACCTGCAAATCTATTGACTGTCTGCCTCCACGGTGTTTCAGAAAGGCTCACAGGTCGGACATATTGTGATAACACTGACAGTCTTTCTTATGTACCCACAAACAGATCTGGGACGATGGAAATGAGAGACTGCGGTCAGGTCAACGTGACTTCTCCCTCATGGTGGTAGTGTGAGTGTTTATTGTATGAATAGTGACTCGATGACAGAGTGAATGGCCGCTCAACAGCTTCGCATGAGGGTCTGTGGCTTTAACTAAGACCTGTAGTGGAAATTTATCCTGTTGTACCATCATGTCAGGAGCTGCGTCTACAGGAGCATAAAAAATCGGAATAAAAAAGCTGATTGATCAGAAGATTCTGATCCAATTTAGTTAAAATCAGAAAGAAATTGTATTCCGATCGATTAGGTTGGTTTATGCTGATCTTTATTCCGTAACGCCTCCATGTAAACACTCATTCCGATCATGACTCTCTCTCACCTGACTCGATCTTCTCTCTTTATTTATTGAGGTCAGTTCAGGAGGTTTCATTATTAACATTAAACAGGTGCCGTTTCTGCTCCTCCGATAACATAGCAAGGCGTACAAACAGAGTAATGATGTCACATCTGCGAGCACAGTGCGACCTTTGACAGAACAGTAAAATAAGTACACAAGGGCGCCATCTAGTGACATTATTTAACACGGGGAAAACTTCTGAATTGAATGAAGTGAGCCACTACCGCGTTGGATGGTTTGTTCACAGCACAGGCGACAATACAACTCTTCTTCTTCTTCTTCTTCTTCTTCTGCGGTTGTTTTAGCGAAATCAGACAACTCTCACTCACATTTGTGACTAAAAATAGATGTGTGTGAATTGTAAAATGCTTTTAGGGTCACGTGTGCAAATGTTTTTTCCTGTAAATACGGCAGTGAAGTAAGTTTTAAGTTGGATATATTTTCCTGTAAATACGGCGGTGAAGTTAGTTTTAGGTTGGATATCTGACGGACATTCTCTGAGGATCTACCGGTGTCTTCTCACTCTCCATAGCCGGGAATAACAACAGCAGCGCGGTTAAATCTACTCGACACCCTCACTGTCAACGTCGGTGTTGAATAAGGGACTGTCAATAAATTACTGGTTGATGTTCTCAGAAAAGGCTGTTTTCCTTCAATAGCTTCAATGTCATGTGACCAAAAGACCTTAAAGTGATTTAAAATAATAGTACTAAGGTTGATCAATAAGACAAACATTATTTGATCAATTTTCATTGTGCCCCTAAAGTTCTTCGTGCTCCTTGTGAAAAAAGTTAGTGCCAGGCCTGTGCTTGTATTTATTTGATTTTGCGCCCATATAAAGATTTCTGATCCCTCAAATTTTGAATCGGATCAAGAGATTTTGCCCATGTACCAGCCTTTCTCCACTCAATCACAGTTTCAGTCGAATTAAATTTAATCTTTAAATATTTGTCTGACGACCACAACACCATGACAGACTCCTCTGTCGAAGTAGCTTAGAGGACGTTGTCGCTGTCAGCAGATTTCTACGTGAAAATCCAGAATCTAGGGTGACCATTTTCTGAATCCTCAAAAAGAGGACACGAATACGCGGGAGTCATGGAGTCATGCATAGCAATGTTAGAAAGTTTTTTGGGTCAGGTCGAGTGTTTTTATGCGCTTCTAACTCGGTAAGTCTCCGCGACACAAACTCAAAACTTCTGCACAGAACCTCGAACATTTAAAGGATTTTATAAACTCCCCCAGACTAGGCCAGACAGCCCCCAAAAAAGAGGACATATGGTCACCCTACAGAATCTGTTTGTGCAGAAGGTGATTATTGATCATTCACTATCATGACCACGTATGTGAAGATATCACGAAACTGAATGCTTTGTTGCGTGATTTAAAAATGGGTCACAAAACAAAGTTTGAAAATACTTTATTGGAGCTAAATTAAGGGTTAGGAGTGAGTTGGATGAGAGGGCCGAGAGAGAAATAGAATTTCATTGTTTGAGTTTAATCGCCCGAGTCTGATGACCAGGACTGTCTGTTCCTTTAGAGTCGAATAAAATCCTCACAGGAGCATCAAAAGGTCCAGATCTCCTGCAGTTATTATAGAGTATTTTTCAAACATTAAAAATCAGCAGTAAAGTTTCAAGGTTCGGTTACTTCATGCACGTCATGCTGGTAGCTTTATAACACCTGACTGAAATGTGCTGAGTAAGAGCGCGGAGCACGTGAAACGACTCAGCGGTCTGATTTTCTGCTTGGAGCTCAGTGGGGGGTCGTCAGTAAATTCCTCTGAGTGTCTAAAGAAAGAAAGTCTGAGAGCTAACAGTTTTTCTTTTTATGAATCCGACCGCATATTTGAAAGGTGAACAAACGCGTGTGTGTCCATGTTTCTGCTGGTGTCTGTGTGCTGCTTCATGTGCGCACAGCAGGGGGGTTAACGAGGGTCTCAGCAACAACAAAAAAAAGTGGACCTGTAACAAATCTGTTCATTTCCAGGAAAAAAGAAATAATTTGTTCCCAATAAAAATGATCCGCAGAAATGCATGATCTCAATTTCGTCTGATAAAACAATAGAGGAGGAAGCCAGGGCGTCGAATTAAAGAGGCCAGAAAGATTTCAGAGTGTGAAATTCAGAGATGCTCTGATAGCAGGACTTCACTCACACACAGATGAGTCCGGACACTCGTGGATATGATGCTTTATAGAAATCCTGATTTTTAGAAGAAGTTTTAATTACTCCGGGAACACACAGACACCATTGATCGGATGTGTATCTTTATACTGACTGACTGTAGGGGGCAGTAGTGGTTCTTCTCGCTGGTTGCGATATTTAAAAACTCTGAAGTAAAAATCAATTATCATGAGTTATCAGTCATCAGTTATCAAGTGAACATTTCATCGCAGTCAAGTCCAAACATCAGCCGGCTTAGCTGTTATTGTTTTCATTAATCTGAACATTTACAGTAAAGGTTTAAACTAATATTTACATCTGTATTTTCTCAAGATTCGCAAATGATACAACTTTAAGCAAAACTGAGGAAAACTTGAAGGGAAATTTCGGCGTAAAATTAAGTCATGGTCAAAATCACCGTAACACCCAGTTAGACCCCCCCTCCAGAGATGAATGTTGCCGACCGCTTGCTTCTCTAGTTATACCAACTTTAGTAACGACCAATCTATAGCCACAAATAATGCTCAGAACAGCACCTAACTTCATCAACAGGACATATAGGGTCACAGACATAGTACTAGACACCAAACATCTTTTTAACTTTGACTCATTTCTTTAGCAAAGGGACTAAACACAACTCACCTACTCTCTTCCAGCAGACGCTTGTTTGTAGTGAGACCTCAGGCCAGTCCATTACAGACTACAGATGCTAAGTCAGAAGAACTACTGTGTCTGCAGTGTAAAATGATTAATAAGGTGATTATTACGTCAAGGAAATGATGAAGTAATGATCATAAATGTTCTTCCTTGAGCTGCAGCACCCCGCTGTAGTCTGTAATAGACTGGCCTGAGGTCTCTCTACAAACAAGCGTCTGCTGGAAGAGAGTAGGTGAGTTGTGTTTAGTCTCTTTACAGCAACATTTCAGCAACATTCATCTCTGGAGGGGGGGTCTAACTCGGTGTTACGTTGTGTTTGACCCTAACCTAATTTTACGCCAGAATATCCCTTTAAAGTAGATTCATAGATACAGCTGATAAAATTGTCCCGCCAATTTCAGGGTTAGTTATTTTAGTTCTCATCAGCCTCCTTAAAGGAAAAGTTTTCTTTAAACTGATCATTTACAGTGAAGCAGTTTACACTAATATTTACATCTCCATTTTCTCAAGATTTGTAGATGATACAACTTAACGTAAAACTGAGGCAAACTTAACTTTTATTATTGCTGCTATTATCAACAAACATCATTTTGCTAATATGAAAAACAGCCTCTGCAGAGTCATGTCACACTCAGTCTTTTCTGGGAGTCCCTGAGCTCAGTCATGATGTAGGTTCCTCTGGATGGCTGTTTTCCAGCTGCTTCAGTCTCTCTTGATGACGGTCTAACATCAGACTGGTTCTGCTCGAGGTTTCTGCCTGTTAAATGAAGTTCTTCCTCTCCGCTGTAACTCTCTAGACGCTGTCAAGTGTTTCACTCGTGGGTCTGGGAGTGGGTCTGCTCTTACTGACAAGTTTACCCCCCTCTGTAACAGAACAGTATTTCCTTATGATCTATTTCTATCCCCCCTTCCTGTCTTTCTTTGGGGGTGTGCACTGGTACGCACTGCCATGCTGGGCCCCTGGGTGTCCTCTCAGGAAACCCTGTTGGTAATTCCATCCATGCCGAGATCCCACATTTGTTTCCTGTGTGTGTGAGCATGTTTTGTTTGCGTGTATTTTTGTCTCTTAGCCATCTGTTCAGCGGGTGTGTGTGAGTGTAAATGTGTGTGAGGTTTGTATTGCATGCATGTCGCGTGTCTTCCTGCATTACTAGGTTTGTGTGGTTGGCATGAAATGACACAGGGTGTATCTTCTCCTAAAAGGAAGAACAAGCAAACAAACAGCTCCGGACTAGGAAGCTGGTGGGCTGTTTAGCAGCTGCTTTGGTCTGGTTCACTGCAGTCACTCCTAACAGAGCGAGCAGCGCTGTAGGCTCCACATCCGGCCTCTGTTCACCCCCGTATAGACCGACCTGCTTTACATGTTCAGTACTGAGGCTGCAGCACAGGTTGAGAAGTGAAAAAAAAGGTGTTTTATTCCTCGATATGCAGCATGAGTCACAGACTGATGAATGGAGCTGTGGTTATTTGTTCTGAGGGAAGTCTAAACCAAGATACATGTGCATATATTTGTGTTTTTTCTTTCTGTTTATTTCTGTCAAATTTATCAGAAGTTACATAATTTCTGGAAATAACAGAAGCTTTCAGGTTGAAGGTATTCAGCTGGGTTCGCACAGAACTGAGAAACAAAGGATGTGAAATTATTTGTACCTTCATAAAGACAATATCAAGAGTGATGAACAAAAATAAAAGGTGAGGATTAGGGCAGTTTAGCTCAGTGAGAAGATCGAGCTTCTGCATGAAAATGGCGAGAAACCATGACGTGAAACGTCACCATGTTGAATAATAAGTTTGTTGTTTTTTGCATGAGACTGTTTTTCTCGTTTGTTGTAAAACTCTCAGGCTTTTGCAGTAAATACACTTTGATATGAACGACTAAAGTGATAATACTCTGTGATGATATCAACACTGCAGGTACATCCAGTTTAACTACTTCAAAAATAGCAGTGGGTTCAATACTCTGGACCTGCATGGATCCTCCTGTTCGACCGTCAGATTTGATGTTTTTGTTTGTCTCTGTTTCCCAGAGCTCTTCTCTTCACCTCATTTATTCTTCTGTGGGTTTAAAGCCGTCTTTAGATTACAGGAGATTTAGGTTAGCCTCTTGTTACTGGATGTAAGGGAAACAGCTAAAATTTCACAGTGCTGTTGTTTCAGTCCGAGTGCTTTTCAATAATAGAGAGAGAGCAGACACACACACACTCATGTGAAGTGTTCAGGAGGACATGTAGACATCTGTGGAATTTCACCAAGTAGACATCTGTGGAATTTCACCAAGTCCATATTTCATTCAGAAATAACTCCTTTATGTTGTGTGTGTGAGTGTTTGTGTTTCATAACAGCTCTGATGTCAGAGCTCATGAGGCTGAGATGTGACACTAAACTACTTCAGTATCATCAGGATTCATAGTTTTTTCTACTGGGCAGATCATCCTGAGATCAGAGACACTTCTGTTCCTCTCACTGATGTACAATGATATAATGTGATGTGATGTAATATGTTATAATGTGATATAATATATGATATAATAAGATGTGATATGAAATGATCAGATATATTATGATATGATAAGATATGATATGATATCGTATGATAGGCTATATGACATGATATGATTTAATATGATGTAATATGATATGATGTGATATGAAATAATGTGATATATTATGATGTGATATAATTTGATATAATATGAAATGATGTGATATAATTTGATATAATATGAAATGATGTGATATGATATGATATATGATATGATATATGACATGATATGATGTGATATAATGTAATGTGATGTGTTGTGATATATGATATAGTGTGATGTGATGTGACAGGGTACATTATGGTGAGATTCATCACAAAATAGCGTGATATGTCATAATGAGATTAATAAGTTAGAATATGATACAATACAGAAGGATAAAGTAAAAAGGTATAAAATGTGATTTATTGCTTTGTTACTTTACATATTAGATATATTTAGAAAATGGGAGAGTTGGAGAAAAATTGGATATAATATAATTTCATATATATAAAATAACTGGAAAAGACAAGATAGGACAGGACAGAATTGGAAACAATGTGATAGGATATGAAACAAAACGATATCTCATGATACAATATGTTACGACACCATGAAGGAATTTAAAAAATATAGCACCATACATGACACACAGCTCATAGTCATGAGAACATCATGATACAGTGATTCTGAGACGAATATACAGCGATACATAAACATGTCTGAGTGGCTGAATCAGTCAGTGGGAGAAATGACTGAATAACAGCTTAAGTTTTATTCAAGCGTCCTTTTATGTGGAATAATTTAGTTTAAAACAAGTGTGATGTTGTTTTTATACCAGTGTCATTTTTTATTACTCTTGGGGTTTAAAGTTTTAACAGTTGTAACGTTTGTGCTCCTCTTTGACATGAGCAGTAAACTCATGGGAAAAGTACTAACAAGCCCTTTTCTCTCCCTCCTTTAAAGTCCTGGCTTAACCTCTAAATCCAACACGGAATATTCAGCTTTAACCTCTTTAAATAGCTTTAAGACATTAATTTAATCAACCAGACTCATAAAGGATTAAATTCTTTATTAACCTATTTGGATTTAATTACAGATTAAATGGTTTGTAAACCCTGTTTATTGCGCCATACTTAGAGTTTGGATCTATAAAATCGTGGCGTCTGAAACGTATCGAGACAGAGCCGTTTCCTACGTCTGTTTGTGTTGTTTGCTGGCTTTTATACAGGAAGTGTAAACAGCCTTTTAGGTTTCTCTATAAAAACAGGCCTGCATTTACTTAACTCCAAATGTATTATCAGTGAAGGCTGAACTTGGAAGCTGCAGCTATTACAGCATTGTATTTAGTCTTAGTATTTCTGACTTTGGTGTTTCTTTCTGCCATGTTATCTGTTTCCTTTTTGCATAGTTATTTCATTTCTTTTTCAATTTCAGAAACACGATCGGTGATCTAACATTTTGCATCAGATCTGCCAAGCTTCATGTCTTTGATTGTGCTGAACAAAATGATTCAACCTTTCAGAATCTCTTTTGGAAGTGCTTTTGTTTAAACAGTCTCCTTTCCAGCTGCACTAAAAATATCATCGACTTCAAGCGCCGTCTTGTGAAAATCAGCGTAAAGTTTCCAGTCAGACTGACAGCATTCTGCAGGTCAAGTGTTCAGGTTGGAGATCGGTGCAGTAAATTTAATGATTTGACTACAGCTCACTTATTTTGCCCTGAATTCACTCTCAGTGTCTGTCAAGAAAGAGTTGGCCTCATTTCCCTGTAAACTCTGAGCTGAGGTGAAAATAAGAGTTGCATTGTTTGAAAAACTCAGCGACCCCTGACACGGTCTCAGACTGAATTCTGCTCTCACCGTCTGAAAGGGAAAACCATAAGAATCACTTACATCTGCAGGTTGTCTGAGTATGTCCTCAATGGGGAGGCAACAACCTGGAATTAAAGCCAATCAAAAGTGCGACGGTTTCCGCTTCAAGCTAAAAACTATGTGGTAAAGTCTGGATCATCTCCTTGTACATTAATCTCCAGTTCAGGAATGACTAACAGAAAAGCATGCTGGGCCAAAGTCCCATCAAAGAGTTTCCCTCAGAGCAGGAAGGGCTGAACAATAAGAAAAACACAGCTAATTGATCACTCTGTGTTATCAATATTGTAACTGAGCAGTCTGTGTATGTCTTTGGTTAGACATAAGTTGATTTCCTTCCCGCCTTCTGATGTAAGCTCAGGTTTTAAACAACAGTCAGGTGTGCAGCGTGTCTGAACATGTTGTCTGAGCACCTTCACCCCCATCATTAGTGAGTTTCCCTCCAGGTACACCGACTTCCCCAACAGACTGACTCATTAGCTGAATTAGTGACTCTTAAAGGGGTACTCCGGCATGAAATTAATTCAGGGTCAAACACCCGCTGTAGTCCTTAATGGACTGGTCGAGGTCTCGCTACAAACAAGCGTCTGCTGGAAGAGAGTAGGTGAGTTGTGTTTCATCTCTTTGCTAAAGAAATGAGTCAAAGTTAAAAAGATG